GGTGTGGGGGGGTGGGAACATTATGTTATAACTATTTTTGCCCCCAAATAGAGTAGGAGGGAAAGATATTCTAAATTCAAAAAATTACCTTGGTCTTTTGAAGGGGGTGGAGCCACTACATGAGGTCTCATGTTGTGACGCCGATGGTGATGATAATGATGTCTTGGTCTTGGAGTCACATGATGACCTAAAATAAGAGAAGATTAGCCCTTAGACATGAAGCCAATTTGAAGTTTTATAGCAAGCTATTGAAAAATATGATAATATACCTTGATAAGATGGAGATGGCACTGGTGCAGAAGATGGTCCAGAAGAAGGTTTAAGCAACCATATTTTAGCTTGTTCTGATGAAGCAAATGACAAACCTAGAGAAAACGACTTCACTGCATTCAAAGAACCTATTATGTCATACATAATAGAAGTGTCCATAGAAAGGACCTTAAAAGGTACCTCTTAAAAATAAAACAAAATAAAAAACAACTCAATCTTCTTCATTAATAGCATGGAGTGTGATTGTAAGTTTGAAGCATGTTTTCCAGGAAAGCATCAGTTTGTGGATTTTATAACTAAATGATGTGCTCAACATGATCAATCTTGGACAATCTGGCAGATTATTACTTGGGAATGAGTTCATGGATTTTGTTGGTTGTAGTTTCATATTTTCATTCGGAATTAGTTTTGTTTTTCTTACCATTTGTACCACCCAAAAAAAAAAAAAACAAGAGTACAATCCAATATGGATTGGAGCACAAAACATAAATAGTGCATTGGATTCATTCAAACTAAAGCTTATAAATATCAAAGAGATAGTTATAACATGCATTTCATTTCACAGTCATCTTCTACAAGATTTAACCCAATATCCAAGTATACTTGCCAATATACTAGAAAAGAACTAATTCCCACAATGACCCTTTGGTTAAAATTTATAACAGGGACTGAACACATAACAACCAGATTAGCCACAATGAAATAGTTATAAGCAAGGATTAGATCATTCAATATATTCTGAGACTGGAGAAGCAAATAAAATATGTTTCACAGCTATTCAATTCAATGCTGGGTTTAGTATATGAATCAATTGTTATAGTTCTAATTTTACAGAATGGAGTCATTAGATTAAAATACAAAACAAATTGTATACTCAAGGCAATCCAGTGGTAGAAAAAGTATATTATATTCAGTGACAGAAAATAAGAAAGATTGAATATCTGATATATTGGCATATTAAGACCAGGTTTGTCCATGTATGAAACGTTCAAGGGAAACAATGATATACCACCCGTACTGAATAGCAGAGAAAGAACTACCTGGTAAAAAGAAAGAAAAACATTCGGAAGGCTGTTCAGCCTGTTCTAAACATAATTAAAATCTTGTAGCAACTAATTTAGCAACAAAATATTATAAATTGTTGACAACCAACCAACTAAAATCCAAACAGCACAGCACAAAAAAAATATATATATATATATATATATATATATAAATTCAAGAATTCAGTTACTGCTAGTAAGCTACAGAACTAGCAGACATGTACAAAAGATCTAGTCACTGTCTTGAGAAAGTTAAATATGTGTTTAATTCAACCTTCCAAAGTCAGCTTATAAGGTCAGTACTGTTCTCCGCTTAATATACACTATTATGACCATTTCACCAGTAAATGTGAAATCTCCAACACACTGTTTCCCATGGTAGCTACTTCTTATGGAAGATAGTTCAACACACTGCTCCCGTGGTGGTGGATACTTAGTAAGAATACCAAGGTTACCAAAAAATAAAAAACCAGACATGTAGAAAGCCAGTCTTCGGTTAAGGGACCTTGAACCTGGTAACTGGTAAGTAACTGCTACATATCAATTACCATTCAGCGATTCACGTGTAGCGTATACTTCCAAGTTGCAACAGAGAGTGTTAACATCCACTTCATACTGTAACGAAGAAGAAAAAGCTACAGACTACACTACAGACTACAGTAGTACAGAACTAGAGCTACTACAGAACCTAATACGCTAAACTCTCATGTGGCGATATTCTTAGTTTCTTACATCCCTCACTCACTGCACATTTACTTCAATTTTCAGCAGCACCACAGAATGACCGTCACAGTAGCATCGAAAGTGCGAAGTGAAAGTACCTTGGGAAGAGAAAAGCAAGTTGAGAAAAGCAAGGAGGAAGAAGCGCGAGAGCGGCATTCTCTCTGGTGGAAGGCGAGAGCGGCGAAGAGCATCGTCAGGAGAAATTCCGGCGGCGGTCATGGCGGAGACCGCAGCAGGCGGAGGAGGAAGAGAGAGGGCGCATAGACGGAAGCGCGAAACCCTAGGAGAGAGAAGACAATGCAGGAGGCTCCGATTCCGGATCCATGAAATGCGGTGGAAGATCTAGGCAGAGTAACCGATGCGCATGCGGAGAGCTAGAGAGAGAAAGAGAAGATGAGAGAGATCTCGAGAGTGTTGAGATTGGAACGGGGAGAGAGTGGTGAAGAAAGGGTGGGGGGAGTTGAGAGCCTTTAATGCTGGTGGGAGTGTTGTTGACAGTGATGATGCATTCAGTTTTTGTGTTGCGCTACTACGTTCATCATTCAACACTCTTTACTTATAGCTTAGCTACGTGTGGGAGCGTGGGACAAAGTAAACCCAAACGACACTGTGTTAAGCCGTTTCGTTCGCTTCTCAAACGCCATCGGGGAACATCGCTTCGTGGTGGCCCATCCCTCTTGATAATACTATTTTTATTTTACTCTGCTTTTTTTATTAAAAAAATTAGGTGGGGATTATAAAATGTTGTCTTATTAACTTTGTAATCATCATGCTGATAGTGCAAAACAAATATGCATATTTTTCTGCCTTTTCTTTTTCTTAAAAATATTGCTCACACGTGTTATTAAAAATTCCCCAGTCTTTGTATCTCAAAGATCCAAATCATATTGTAATTTGAGAGGAAATTTTCAGTTATTATGTTTTTTCAAATGCATAAAAAAATAATAAATGGAAATTGTTTTCGAGAAATGTGAATTGAAAATGTATCTTGAGAGTGAAATGCTCTCCTACGCACTGGTAAAGACTTAACAGGAAAGTAATATGATAACAAAACAAGGAAGCCTTTGTTAACTTTTTTAGCGAAAACAATACACTGAATAATTAATGGCAGTTTGACTTTAGAATCAGGGATAATGAGCTTACGACAAGACCTGGTGTTATTATAATCATTAATATCTCCCTTTCTAAGAACAACTTTAACAATCCATTATTTAATACTTCTGATACTTATAATATATATATAGATAGTGCCTTGACCGATTGGGATTAGTTACATGTTGTTTGGATTATGGAAGATTTTAAGAAGAATAAGAAAAATATAAAGCATTAGAAAGCAAAAGAAAATTAATAGATTTTGATAATTGTTTGAATTAAGAAATAAATAAAAGTAGGTGTGTATTATAAAGAAATATTTAACTCTCATAATATAGTTATAAAATAAAATAAAATATAATATAAATATGTCATTTTATTTTTTAATACCATGTCATAAATTCTTTTATTCCTTTTTTCTCGAAATTTTGGCAATGATAGAGAGAGACTTTTATGAGATATATTAAACTATTCTTTCTATTACTTCTCTTTTTTTTTGAATAATTAAAATTCATTTTTTCTTTATTTTTTTCTCACATACTTTTTTTCACTCAAGATTATCTCAACTGAACATATCTTCAGTGATTTTTTATGAGAGAAAATCTCATTCATCAAAATATTTACATTTCATTTTTGTAGAAAAAAAATAGTAAATAGAAGAAGAAAAAAAATAAAGAAGTGTGAAATAAGTAAAAAGATAGAGTGAAATTCTATGTTGTTTAGTTTAAATAGATAAATTGTAACACTGTAAGTTTTTAATTATTGTCTTTTAGTAATAATTATTTATCTATGTGGTGTTTGAGATGTATTATGGGACTTAAAGAGTTTAAAAACTCTCAGAAGTCTTGTTAATTTTGAGGGTCATTAGCTAAAGGTTCAGTTGGTATTGAGAAAAAAATATATGTACAAGGTTTATATTAATAACCGAGACTTATAAACTCAAATTCTTAAAGACCTTAAAGAAATGGTAGAGTGAGAAGCATAAAATTCTATAACCTTTACTTATTCCTTTGGATCCCCTAGAGGTGTGAGAAGTTCCTTTAATCCTTAATGTGGTGATCCAAAACATTTAGAAGTTGAGAATTTGAGTCGAGTGGTTGCAAAGCTCGTGGAAGCTCAAAAGTTCATATTTTCCTTCCTCCTTCATCTTAATGCTTGGAGTGAGGTAAAAGAAGTTAGACTTAATTCCTGTTGAACTATGTGGCTATATTTCTTAAAATTCTTGGTTGTTTAATGAATCTAAGGTGAGAGTTGGGTGCATATTGAGTTTTTTGTGTTTTTAGTTTATGAGAGTGATTTTGGCCTGTGATGCAAGTTAAGTTGCATGTGTGATTTGAACTTGGAATTTAGTTGTGAATGATAAGTAGAAGATATTGGGTGCATTGCATGCTTGGTTCTTATGAATTTCATGTTTTGGTGTGCAATTTTCATGATTTGCAAGTGGAAGTTTCTAATGTTGCATTGGGCACAATTCCAATAAGAGGTTTCTGTCTCATATACACCAGACACCAAACGTGAGAACACTTGAAAGTTTCTAGCTGAGTGACATTGGACCCATTTGGGTGGGCAATAAGTGTGATCAAGACGTAGGCAAAGAGAGTATGATATGAAGTTGAACGTGGATTTTGTTGAATCCCATACTTGAAAGTTAGGCAAATGGGGTCCTCTGAAACCCTTATTGAATAACTTGTTGAACATTGGTATGCTAGTCTTAAATAAGGTGTATAACATTGGTATGTTAATTATGGTTGGTGTGGTTTAATTTTTATATGCATTAACATGTGTAAATGTATATAGATGATGTATGCTGAGGTGTTGATGTTGAAAATGTTGTAAGCATCAAAACATACTAATTGACTTAACACTAAAGGAGAGAGTATTGTTTGAAAGTTGAATATCCCATATAAGAAATTTTGTTTTGAGTTAGATTGATTATGCATTCAACTCGTTTTAAATCAAAGTGAACTGGTCAATTTTCTAGTTTGACCAATGAACTGGTGGATCAAACTAGTTCAATCACAATTTTTTTTCAATTTTTTTAAGGTACTACAAACCATAAAAATAACAATGATAATTGAATCCTGTTAATGAAAGAGCAAAAAGTTTTATCAAACATAATAATAACCACTTATTTTAGTATATTTATTTATAATATATGCAACTTAAATAACTTTTATAATATATTATTAATTTTAAATTATATATCTAATAATGTAATATATATGTAGATATTATATATATTATTATGTGATATCAATTGCAAGTATATTATATATGTACACAATATTTATATTTTAATTTGTATTAATATATAATTTAACATGTAATTTTTTATTATGTATTTCTTTATACAAAATAAAAACAAAAATAGTTTAAAATAAGATAGAAATTGAAATTTAAAACAGGATATGAATTTATTGAACTTTATAAGTATAAAATAATTTTAACATTAATATTTTTTAAAAATTAATAAAAATTGGGTTATGCGATTTAACTAGTGATCTACGTGTTTAACCTTTGACCGAGTACTTTAATCAATTGATGATCGGTTCGATTTTTAATACTATATTTCTAACTACCTTAATCCCTCCCCACGAATTCATTAGGTTAATCCTAGTGATTATTACTTGCTAGCTTTTAAACTTTATGCTATTTTTCAAGCATTTTTTAAATTATCATTTTATTAAAACTGGTCTTTATGTTAAATAATTTATATTAAATATTTTTATTCCAAAAGTAAATTAACCGTAAAATTTAGAATAACTTTTTATCCAATAAAACATATACGTAAATTTATTTCAACCCAAAATTTTTTCCTCAACAAAACTAAACTTAAAAAGCATTTATCTGAAATATCAATTCAATTTTATAGAGTCGTCCAAAGATTCACTTAATAGAATAGGCATGTCATGAATGTTAAAATAGTAATGTTCTTTAAGTTTGCATCAGGGAATAAAATATTAATTAAGAAATTACTTCTTTTAATTTCACATTAATTGAAGAAGACTTTTATGATTACTTTTTTATTTCCCATTTTTTAACACAACCACAATAACTATAGAAAATCTAACTCCTTATGGTACTCGAAGATATATTCAAAAATATCAACCACAAAAGAATGTTACATTTTTTTATATACTTAAAAAAATTATATTTATTTATGATCGAAATTTATAATTTTGGCGGATTGTGCATTTTATTTATTAAAACGTGTGATTTTTGATAAATATAAAAAATATTAACAAGTGAGTGTTAGAAAGTGTCGTAATTTTTTTTTAATTTCATATTAGCAAGAAACTGCACGTGGTGCTCCTCGTGGATCCGAAGCATGTGGTTACAGATAAGAGAGACCCGAACCGACCCGACCCGACTCGACGTCCCGTGGTAACAATCACGTGCTATTAGCATTTTATTTATTTTCCCCTGTTTTCATTTTCAGTTTGAGTTCTGAGTTCTACGCTTGATCCTATTTCTATTCTTAGCCTTCAATCTTAATGCTTTTGGGTACCTTCTAGACACTTCCATTCTAGTTCGTGTTGCTCACTGCTGATGCTTCCAATTTCCATCGAATTTTTCTCAGTCTTTTAGCATCTAGGGTTTACCGTATCCTCTCCATTTCGATTTGAACCGTCTTCCCTCTCTCGGGGTAGCTCCAATTTAGGGTCAATATTCATGCCTCTATACCGTGCATGGAGAATTCTTCCGAGGCGCTCGGTTCCAAAGGCTTGATCAATAGGCATGAATTCGTGAGGATCATAATCCAGTGCCTGTATTCATTAGGGTACAGCAACTCCGCCTCGTGTTTGGAATCGGAGTCTGGTGTCTCGTACTGGTCCAACGAGTTTCAGTTACTTGAATCGCTTATACTCAACGGGAACTTGGGCGATTGCATCGATTATCTCAATTCCATAAAGGATGTGTTGGGTGAAACCGCGGAATCCGCACTGTTTCTTGTCTTCAGGCAGTGTGTGATGGAGTATCTGAATTGCGGTGAGGACGCGTTGGCCTTGGGGGTGTTGAGGAAGCAGGTTTCGGCCTTGGATGTGGACAAGTACAAAGTTCACGGTTTGGCTACGTGCTTGCTTTCGTTGAAGGATAGGGAGTTGGGTGCGGTTGTTGGCAGTGGTGGTGATGTTGTTGTGCATGATTTGAGGAGAAAATTGTTGGGGGATTTGGAGAAGTTGTTCCCTCCTCCAATTGTCGTGCCTGAAGCAAGGCTGGAGCACTTGGTGGAAAGTACTGTTACTGCCTGGGTGGATGCGTGTATGTATCATAGTTCATCGAATACGGTTTCGCTTTATGAGGATCATTGCTGCAGCAGGGATGAGATTCCTACAACGACGACTCAGGCGAGTTTGCGTAGTGTTGAATTCCAATTCCATGTTTAGATTCATTTATTTGTTCTATTCAATTGTTAGTTGATGACCGTTGTCATTTGTTGAAGTACCTCTATTTGAGAATTTGTTTTTTTGCGAAGGATGATTTAATGGGTGATTTCAAGTTTATGTAGGATATACGCTGCTGCTTATTGATCTAAATTAAGAATTTGTGTTCGTTGTCTTTTAAATTTGTTTTAAATCATGGATTTCTGTTTCTTGTCTAATAAATTATTGCATCGATTGGATATTTTGTTGAAAAGGATATATTTTGTTTATTTGCATCATTTGTTGGTTGTGATTTTGAAGAATCTTTATCCTTTTTGGTCAATTTTGGGCTCAGATAATCTTTTGGACTTTCCATTGGAAATTGTGAAAAGGGGGAAAATGTTATATGAAGGAGGAGAAGTATGTAGCTGGTCAAGCAAGCTGCCTTATGAGTTTCAGTGATATATTTTAAGCAGGAAATGTATGATTTGTGCTTACTAGAAACTACAACCCATATTTTTCTTGCACCTTAGTTTATTGGAATTTCTAATACTATAGGCATAGCAAGTCTTGAGGTTGGTATGATATGAGGCTGTTTTCCTGATCATTTGATGCCTATTTTGGAGGGTTTTTTTTGGGTATATGCCTAGAGATTGAGTATGGTGACAACTTTTGTGTGGCAAAAGATGAATAAGATTTGGAATGATGGACATAAATTTCAAAATTAATATTTTCTAACAAGTGATATTGCATGCCTTAGATGTTAAATAACATTTTTTTTTCTTTCCATTGCCGCAGATATTGACTGGACATAAAAATGAAGTTTGGTTTGTTCAATTTTCTAATAATGGGGAGTACCTAGCCTCTTCATCCAATGATTGCACAGCCATCATATGGAAGGTATCATACTGTTGTCATATAAAAGTATTTATTTTAGCTTTAGAAGATTCATCCAAATTAATGACTTTTTTAAGTTTGAGTCTTTGAGAAAAAAGTGTTTCGCAAACTCATACATATTGTATATTCACTATAATTTAGGTTCATTTTATGGCAATATATCTTAAATACCCCACCTTTAATGTCATTTAGATTGAATAACAAACATTTATTGTTTTTAAAGATTATTCAAATGGTTGAAGATATTTTTTATTCATCTATTGAACTTCATATGTTTATGTTTTGGAGCTTACCACAAAAGAAAGGGATAAACTATAGAAGGAAAGCATACTTAGAGCTTATTATCATGTCTGGACTCTGGAATTTATGAAAAAAAGAAAGAAAGAATGAGTTTCTTGTTTCATTAGTTGCTAATATGAATGGGAAAATAAATGGACATCCAGAACTTGTTAGAATCTAATATGGATGGATGTCTCTTGTTTGGTTTGAAGCTTACATTATTATCATGGAAAGGGTTTGTGTTACATTCTTGTTATAGCATGGTAAGAAAATGAATAATCTGGCATGCCATCATGGAACCTTATAGCAAACCTCCAGTGACTAAAGCTTTGTTAATTTATGGAATCTGTATTAGTTTTAATACTTTAAAATTGAAATTTATCTTTAAAGTTTGTCTTCTTTCTTCAATTGGACAAGGATGGCCATTTGGTGCTATGAAGGTTGAAGTTTACAAATTAGGAAACAACTACATACTAATGCTTATTTCTGCAAAAAGGGAGGATCTCATGGATGTGAAACATTTGAATGATTTCCAGGGGAGTATCACAATGAAAGTTAAAAAGAAAAAATCTTATAAATTATAATCTCCCAGTCCCAATGCTCTTTCTTATCCCCTTATTTAGTGCAATAGTCCTGAATCTTTGATCCAGTTCATAAATCACAATTACATTTGAGGGTTTTGTGGAAGCAACTTGAGGTGGTTACTGGTAAGGTTGCAGGGGTTTCCACTTGACAGGAGAGAAAGCATAAGGTTCCAAAATAGTGTTTTCACAGAAATTGTAACAGAACAAGATTTGCAATTTTTAGGGGGGCAGGGAACATCAGTGTGATTGTTCCAAATGTAGGACCACATACATTTGGTGAATAAGGCCTTGTTTTTTATCTGGAACATTTTCTACTTAAGTTAAATATGCTGTAGCTAGAGCCTAGAATCGTGCAGAGTGCAAAATGATCAATCCTTAAGAATGTTGTATCTCCATATATATTATTCATAAGCTAAATTAAAAATGCATGAGGATTTGAGGGATTTATTGTGCAGATGTGCCTTTTAATTCTCTCTCTATTTGAAAATTTGCTTTATATTTATGTCTGTGTTCTTTACCTTTAAGATCAGAGTAGTATCCTTTCAATTCCTGTGTTCTGACACTGGTGTCCTTTCTGATATCTGTGGATATATGTATGGATATGCGAAATGTACACCCTAATTACCATTGACAACCTATTAAATTTATATTGATGGGTTTATCTTTTGAGCTAAGGGTTAATGCTAGTTTTGATATTACTAGTTAGGTTAAATACCTCTTTTGGTCCCTTACAATGTTTTTTTGTTTCAATTTAGTCTCACTTTAATTTTTGGTTTCAATTTGGTCCCCAATAATTTAAATCGTTCTAATTTGGGACTTCCGTCTAAATGATTTAAACGGAGTTAACTGGTAGCCACGTGGATGCCAGGTGGATGCCACGTAGATGTCACGTAAGTGGATCCAAAAATACTTGAATACACCTGGAACCAGAACGGCCCGTTCTGGTTACACTATTGGTGTGTAAAATTTGCAACTGGAACGGGCCGTTCCAGGTCCAAAATTAACACACCAACGGTGTAACCAGAACGGGCCGTTCTGGTTTCAGAACGGGCCGTTCTGGTCCAGATTTCTTGCACAAAAAAATTAAAATACAAAGCATTTCAAACACTAGATTTGGTAATATTGTTAATGAGGATTAATAACTTCAATTGCTAAACATTTGGGCTATACAGTATATCATTAAGGATGATGCAGTGTATCACTAAGGACAATGGTAACAAGTTTTATTTCATTGTTAATTAAACTGGAGTGAACCACTTACTACCAAATTGACACTATACAGTCAAGGATAAAACGAAATAGTGTTTTTCCTTGAAGTCATTGACGATGTACCCCAACAATAACAACTTGTTCTTGAGGAGGTACCCCTAAACCTTGAATTTTATTTTCAATTTTTGAAATACATTGCGGCATTTTAGTCAAGATTTTAAACCGGATAAATTCAAATCAAAGAAATATTTTGGAAGGTCTTATCTTATTTGATTTTTTTTATAGTTTTATTCATAAATGAATATTAATTTATTGTATTTTATTTATTATATATTTATTAATATAGATATAACAAAAAAAATACAATAAAAAGCATGGCGTTCTGGAACGGGCCGTTCTGAATTCAGAATGACCCGTTCTGAATTCAGAACAGCCCGTTCTAAAATCAGAACGGCCCGTTCTAAAAGCAGAACAGCCCGTTCTAAAAGCAGAACGGCCCGTTCTGGTTTCAGAACGGGCCGTTCTGGTTTCAGGTTTTTTTCCGGAATTTTGGCGTCCACGTGCGCATCCACGTGGCATCTACGTAGATGCCACGTGGCCAACAATTAACTCCGTCTAAATCATTTGGACGGAAGTCCCAAATTGCACTAATTTAAGTTATTGGGGACCAAATTGAGACAAAAAATTAAAGTGGGACTAAATTGAAACAAAAAAACATTGTAAGGGACCAAAAGAGGTATTTAACCTACTAGTTACTAGATAGAAATGATCAATGCTTTTAGGTCACTTGCTGAGCCAACTTCAATAGCCAACTCAAAAAAATCCTATCTCATAAGGGCCTGATTGGATACTTCCAAATGGAGTTGAGACAAAATTCCCAAATAAAAAAAATCATGTTGCTGTCAAGGAAACAGAGTTTGGAGTATAATACAAACAGGCTCCAATATCTATCAATCTGCTGTCTTTCTGTCTAGTTGTCTATAAGATATTATGATGTTTCGTTTGTTGAATGGAGAATCCAGTAAAATACTTGCCGTGGAAGATGGTAATCTTTCTGAGCTGATAAAAACTGAAAATAAGCTTGTTAGTAAAACACATTTTTATTCTCCTGGTCATGAATAAGTTGGTCATAGCTTCATTATTGTAAATGATCTATAGGTTTGTTTCTCCAAAAGGAATGCAGATTTCGTAGCAAAGACAGGTTCATTGACATTAGATCTGTGTAGTTTCTTGTTAGAAATAGAATATTAACATTTATGATAGAATATGATCAATTATTTTTCATGTTGATTATATTAGAATAATTAATCACTAATATTAAGCTAGAAGTTAGTTTTTGTCAACTGATATTACTCTCTAATTGTCTGTGGATCAATGATACTGGAAGATATGTGTGGCTCAACAGTTCTTAAAAGAAAATTGGTTGTAGCTCATCACAACACACACTTTCAAACATTTCTGATGTTCTGAATACTTCTTCCAGGTGCTGGAGGATGGAAAATTGACATTGAAACATACACTTTGTGGTCACCAACAGGCTGTATCTTTTTTAGCATGGAGTCCTGATGACACCAAGTTGCTTACATGTGGTAACACGGAAGTTTTAAAGCTGTGGGATGTTGAAACAGGTACATGCAAGCAAACATTCGGGAATCAAGGCTTTGTTGTCAGCTGTTGTGCCTGGTTTCCCAACTCAAAACAGTTTGCGTGTGGCAGTTCTGACCCCGAGAAGGGTGTCTGCATGTGGGATTGTGAAGGAAATGTGATCAAATCATGGAGAGGAATGAGGATGCCCAAAGTCGTAGATCTTGCTGTTACTCCAGATGGCGAGTATCTTATCAGCATATTCGTGGACAAAGAAATTCGAATTCTGCATATGGCAACCAATACTGAGCAAGTTATTTCAGAGGAGCACCCAATCACATCCCTTTCAGTTTCAGGAGATAGTAAGTTGTTCATTGTCAATCTAAACAGCCAAGAGATTCATATGTGGGATGTGGCCGGGAAATGGGAAAAGCCCCTGAGGTTTATGGGCCACAAGCAACACAAATATGTGATAAGGTCATGCTTTGGTGGATTGAATAACACATTTATCGCCAGTGGTAGTGAGAATTCAGAGGTATGGTCCCCTTTTCTTGGTGTGCTTATATAGACATTCCCTATAACTTACCTGTGTTACAAGGCATTGTTATTTAGTAAACATTTTACTAATAGTTAAATCACCTCCAAATTTAACGTAATACAGGTATACATTTGGAACTGCCGGAACTCGAGGCCTATAGAGGTTCTATCTGGGCACTCCACGACTGTTAACTGTGTGAGCTGGAACCCCAAAATGCCACAAATGTTGGCATCTGCAAGTGATGATCATACAATTCGTATATGGGGACCCAGCTTAAAAAAAAAGAAGGCAACATGAGTAGATTAGATGAGCACGTTGCATATCTAAATTTGAAGCCTAGTGTAGTGTGGTAGCATATACGAGTTTATTCTTTTTCCCCTTCCCAATGCCTGTTCAGGTCACAGCATGAGTTTGTAAAGTCGTAGTTTACCCATGCAAGAATTTTGGAATTTTGGGCGTACATTTCCCATCTGTATATCTCCTTTCCTTCATTTGTTAGTATACTCTTTATTTTGTCCCGTTCTGTGCAGAAACTGGTGGGTTGAAGTCGGGATTTACCCTGATTCGAAATGGTAGCAGCATATTCGTTTATTCGCAATAAAATGTTTGCTAGTCATTAGACGGATTTATGGGCAGCATGTGCTGTAGGACCCCTGTTGCCAGAGACAGGCATAATCATCACATCTGCACTCAATACTTTGCGGCCTCCTAACCGGGTGCTTGCACGACAATACTTATATTTTATGAAGTTATTATTTTTAAAAAAAATTATGTTGATAAACAAATAAATATTTTTTAATATTAATCCAGTTATACACGCTAAGTTTATAGGCAATCAAGTGTGTGTATATATATATATATATATATATATATAATATATATATTTGGATGGTTTCAATATTTATCTGTTTTTGTCATATTTATGTTTAGAAGTTAGGTTTTTGATAAATTATCCATTATTTTTACTGTTAAATTTCAAAATGATACAATGTTGCAGAAAAAAAGTTATTTCGGGTAAAGTTCCCGTATTTTGTTTGAAAATGTGGCAATTGATTTACATTTTGTTTTTCGTGTGATAAGAATGTTCTATGAAACTAGAACAATTTTTTATTTCATTTAATTGACATTTAATTCAACAATTGACTATAATATAATTTTTGCATATAAAATAATTACAGTTAAATTACTAGAATTGAGATAATGATTATTGAAACGAAGATAAAAAGATTTGAAATTGTATTGATATTTCCCTTCATTGTTTTTCCCCCTTAATTTTTTTTCTTTTTCTCCTGGAGTTGACAATATGTACATGGGTAACTACGTTAACACTAAAGTTTATAAATGGTTATGTTCCTTCATTGTTTTAAGATACCATTTTTATACTATAAATGTAGATTGCATGTAATATATTGTTTCTAATATTTTTTCTTCGTATAATATTTTAAAGTTAACGATTAAAAACTAATTTATATTCATAATACTTTCATGTATCCTTTTATATATATTGACAATCATTAGGATGAGGGTTCCCGCATATATTTTCTAAAGAGAAAAAATAATCCTACAAGTAAAGGGAATAAATACACCACACTAGATATATGAATTTGATTTGCCTTCTAGCTACTTTCTTAATATCTATTATAATTATATTATTAACGTATCTTTTATATGTATGAAATGGATAACTACACTCTAATATAATAAAGAAGTCACATGAAATAGTTACTTTAATAACAAGGAAATATTTTAGAATTTTATAATTATGGATTGAATTTATTTTATTAATTTATATAATATAGAATAATTTTATTTATATAAATTTTGATTCTAATTATATTTTCTTAAAGTCATATTTTATAATCTTGTAAAACTAATAAAATAAATTATATTTATTTTTTAAAATTAAACAATCACTTTATTCAAAATCTATTATGAAATTGAAATTTTGAAATATACAAGGTTAAAAAATTTGCTCTTGGTTCATGTAATTTGAACCAATGAATTATTAGTGAATTTGAATCTAATTAAATTCATGTTGAACACAAATCGAGTTGTGAGTTGAACTAAATATTATTGAGTCAAACACAACTTAATCAAATTTAATTTAACTCGACTTATTTTCATTCTATCAACGACGAATACTCATGTCTTTTTTGAAAAATGAAATAATCATGTTAAGAGATGTGAAATCTATCCTTTTAGATATTTTTAACACTTCAAATTTTTTTTAAAAAATAATCCTTTTTTTTTTAAATTATACTTCAAAGTTTATGCACACATATTATGAAATATAATTAATATTCTATATTTCATAAAAAAAATATTTTATATTTTCATCTTTTATATTATTTAAATTAAATTATCTCTTATTTATACTGCTTTATATTTTTCTTTTGGCAATAAATAGTTAATAATATAATACAAAATATATTTAATAATTATTGATATTGTAAAATAAAAATTAATATCTAACAAAATAAAACGGACGAATAATTATTATCATAAATATTTTTAAAATAATTTCATATTTTTCTTCCCTGAATTAATAATTAGTAGTGTGGTTCTGACGCGTCTCCGCTTGGGTCCTAATCCTAAACCTAGGTTGGTAATCCCTATGCCGCTTTGATCCAACGGCGCACGTAGAAAGATCTGAGCGCACAACGAACTCCAGTCTAACCTAAAAACCATTAAGTTTCCTTTATCACACTTTCCTCCCCTCAAAGCCAACGAAATTGCGTTAGAAGCCCCAAAACATGCGAAATCTTCCTTTTCTTTTACCGTCGTCTCCCTAGGTCTGTCTTTGAAATCAAACACAAAGACGGAGGCTCTGAAATAAAGCCACGAGAAAGAGAGAGAAAGAGAAAGAGAAAGAGGGTCTTTCTGTAACAATGAATCTCCTCTCCCTCTAACTCTCTCAGATTCCATCCTCTCTTCTCTTCTTCTTTCGATTTCGCTCCAATGACGGGATTCGCTCGCCCTCGCGATCACGCTTCTTCTTCCTCGCACAATTCCAACAGCAGGTCCAATTTCCTTCTACAGATTTCTTCCGCCTTCTTTTTTCTTTATTCGAATCAAAATTCATTTTCATTTCTAGTTTTCGATTTCTCGTCGCGCCGATTTTGGATTGTTTGATGTGCGATTTCGCCGAATTCGATTTTGTTTCTTGTGCCTGTGTTAGGATTGTGAAATCGGTGGCAGCTGAAATTGAGCTTCGTGTCTGTGTTTAGTGTTTCTGAGGCTTGATTTTACCGCCTGCATGTTTTTTTTTTTTTTTTTTTTTTTGGT